CTGACGACGCCAAAATTATGAGAAGGATTAAGACAGGAGGACAGCTTGAGGTTTCAAGAAGACCTGGACAAGCTGAAGGAATGGTCGAATAAATGGTTGTTAGAGTTTAACCCAACCAAATGTAATGTAATGAAGATAGGGGTAGGAAGCAGGAGACCAGATACAAGGTATCACTTGGGAGATGAAATACTTCAAGAGTCAGAGAGAGAGAAAGACCTGGGGGTTGATATCACGCCAGACCTGTCCCCTGAAGCTCATATCAAGAGGATAACATCAGCGGCATATGCCAGGTTGGCCAACATAAGAACGGCCTTTAGAAACTTGTGTAAGAAATCTTTCAGAACATTATATACCACATATGTCAGACCAATCCTGGAGTATGCGGCTCCAGCATGGAGTCCATACCTAGTCAAGCATAAGACTAAACTGGAAAAGGTTCAAAGGTTTGCCACCAGACTAGTACCCGAGCTGAGAGGTATGAGCTACGAGGAGAGACTACGGGAATTAAACCTCACTTCGCTGGAGGACAGAAGAATTAGGGGGGACATGATCGCCGCATTCAAGAATCTCAAGGGAATCGATAGGGCAGATAAAGACAGGCTATTTAATACAAGGGGCACACGCACTAGGGGACACAGGTGGAAACTGAGTGCCCAAATGAGCCACAGAGATATTAGAAAGAACTTTTTTAGTGTAAGAGTGGTTGACAAATGGAATGCATTAGGAAGTGATGTAGTGGAGGCTGACTCCATACACAATTTCAAGTGTAGATATGATAGAGCCCAATAGGCTCAGGAACCTGTACACCTGTTGATTGACGGTCGAGAGGCGGGACCAAAGAGCCAGAGCTCAACCCCTGCAAGCACAATTAGGTGTGTACAGATACACACACTGTCTGAATTCTGGGGTCGTGAGAGACACACGTGTCAGTGAACTAACATCTGTTGTCTCGAGAAATTGAAGTGTTACAGAGATAAGAAACACTCTCTCTCTTGTCACTCCTGTGAAAAGAAACATAGTTTGTCACAAGATATTTATTGTCGCTCTTGTGACAAGAAACATAGTTTCTTATCACAGGAGTGTACACAAACGATGTGATCAAGTATATAGTGAGCACCGATAGCATTAGATCAGATAAGGAAAAAATAAGGTTGAATGGCAACATCAGTGCCATACCGTAAGTCAGGTCTGACTAATTGGCGAGAATATTGTTTGTGAAGGTGAAATATAACAGACATGGTGATCGATCCCCCAAAGTGTGTGCACCGTGTAGAAACGTATACTATGTCCGCGGTTGTTCAACGTCCTCATAGCAAGCATAAGAAATATTGTCGGAACAACCGTGGACATTTTCAAGAGGAAACTAGATTTATTCCTCCAAGGAGTGCCGGACCAACCGGGCTGTGGTGGGTATGTGGGCCTGCGGGCCGCTCCAAGCAACAGCCTGGTGGACCAAACTCTCACAAGTCGAGCCTGGCCTCGGGCCGGGCTTGGGGAGTAGAAGAACTCCCAGAACCCCATCAACCAGGTATCAACCAGGTATGTAGTACATGTTGACTGACGCTCAGTGAGAAGGATAGGAACGAATAGTATATCAGGACCGCGTGTAGACAGCATTGCCAACCAGCACCAGGAGAGGACAGGTGACCAAACCCTCGTCATATGGACATCACCTGAAACTCCCCTAGCATGTGCTTGCTTGAGGTGAGCTAGTGACAGGTACTCTCTCTCTCTCTAGGTCATCAATAAGGTGTAGAGAGAGACTTAAAGTAATTAAGTTAAAATATATCCGAGATATTTAGACCAACAATTCCGGATGGCTCATTCTGGATAGACGTTTTGACACTTATATGGACTAGGGCCCTCGTGGCCCCTCCCCCTTCCCCTCCCCCTTCCCCTCCCCCATCCCCCTATGAACAAACCCCCACTGTGTAACACCCATATCCCCCCCCTTCCTACTTGCACTCAAATAGACACACCCATGTCTACGTTTGCTATATTTCTGCTTCACAAACACTATACATTATATATGTAAATGATCTCCCAGAGGGTATAGAATCGTTCCTCTCAGTGTTTGCTGCTGATGCAAAAATTATGAGGAGGATTAAAACAGAGGAAGATAGTAGGAGGCTACAAGAGGACCTAGACAGAATGAATAAATGGTCCAACATATGGCTACTAAGGTTCGACCCAAGTAAATGTAAGGTAATGAAGCTAGGCGGTGGAAACAGGAGGCCAGACACAGGATACAGAATGGGAGATGAAGTACTTCATGAAACGGACAGAGAAAAAGATCTAGGAGTTGATATCACACCAACCCTGTCTCCTGAAGCCCACATAAAAATAATAACCTCTGCAGCTTATGCAAGGTTGGCTAACATAAGAACTGCCTTCAGGAACCTGTGTAAGGAATCATTCAGAACCTTGTATACCACATATGTAAGACCAATCCTGGAATATGTAGCACCCTCATGGAGCCCGTACCTTGTCAAGCACAAGACGAAGCTGAAAAAAGTTCAGAAGCATGCCACTAGGTTAGTCCCAGAACTAAGAGGCATGAATTACAAGGAAAGGCTGCGTGAAATGCACCTCACGACACTGGAAGACAGAAGAGTAAGGGAAGACATGATCACAACCTACAAAATTCTCAGAAAAATTTACTGGGTTGAAAAGGATACACTGTTTAACATGGTAGGGTTCGCGAACAAGGGGGACACAGGTGAAAACTGAGAACCCAAATGAGCCACAGGGACGTTAGAAAGAACTTTTTCAGTGTCAGAGTAGTTATCAGATGGAATGCATTAGGCAGTGATGTGGATGAGGCTGACTCCATACAGAGCTTTAAGTGTAGATATGATAGAGTCCAGTAGGCTCAGGAACCTGTACATTAGTTGATTGACAGTTGAGAGGCGGGACCAAAGAGCCAGAGCTCAACCCCCGCAAGCACAACAACTAGGTCTTTGCCAATGTTCTTACAGGCCTGGGCTAACCAATGTTCATACATGCCTGGGCTAACCAATGTTCATACAGGCCTGGGCTAACCAATGTTCTTACAGGCCTGGGCTAACCAATGTTCTTACAGGCCTGGGCTAACCAATGCTCTTACAGGCCTGGGCTAACCAATGTTCTTACAGGCCTGGGCTAACCAATGCTCTTACAGGCCTGGGCTAACCAATGTTCTTACAGGCCTGGCCTAACCAATGTTCTTACAGGTCTGGCCTAACCAATGCTCTTACAGGCCTGGCCTAACCAATGTTCTTACAGGCCTGGGCTAACCAATGTTCTTACAGGCCTGGCCTAACCAATGTTCTTACAGGTCTGGCCTAACCAATGCTCTTACAGGCCTGGCCTAACCAATGTTCTTACAGGCCTGGGCTAACCAATGTTCTTACAGGCCTGGGTTCTTACAGGTCTGGCCTAACCAATGTTCTTACAGGCCTTGGCTAACCAATGTTCTTACAGGCCTGGGCTAACCAATGTTCTTACAGGCCTGGGCTAACCAATGTTCTTACAGGCCTGGGCTAACCAATGCTCTTACAGGCCTGGCCTAACCAATGTTCTTACAGGTCTGGCCTAACCAATGCTCTTACAGGCCTGGCCTAACCAATGTTCTTACAGGCCTGGGCTAACCAATGTTCTTACAGGCCTTGGCTAACCAATGTTCTTACAGGCCTGGGCTAACCAATGTTCTTACAGGCCTGGGCTAACCAATGTTATTACAGGCCTGGGCTAACCAATGTTCTTACAGGCCTTGGCTAACCAATGTTCTTACAGGCCTGGGCTAACCAATGTTCTTACAGGCCTGGGCTAACCAATGTTCTTACAGGCCTGGGCTAACCAATGTTCTTACAGGCCTGGGCTAACCAATGTTCTTACAGGCCTGGGCTAACCAATGTTCTTACAGGCCTGGCCTAACCAATGTTCTTACAGCCCTGGGCTAACCAATGTTCTTACAGGCCTTGGCTAACCAATGTTCTTACAGGCCTGGGCTAACCAATGTTCTTACAGGCCTGGGCTAACCAATGTTCTTACAGGCCTGGGCTAACCAATGTTCTTACAGGCCTGGGCTAACCAATGTTCTTACAGGCCTGGCCTAACCAATGTTCTTACAGGCCTGGGCTAACCAATGTTCTTACAGGCCTTGGCTAACCAATGTTCTTACAGGCCTGGGTTAACCAATGTTCTTACAGGCCTGGGCTAACCAATGTTCTTACAGGCCTGGGCTAACCAATGTTCTTACAGGCCTGGGCTAACCAATGTTTTTACAGGCCTGGGCTAACCAATGTTCTTACAGGCCTGGCCTAACCAATGTTCTTACAGGCCTGGGCTAACCAATGTTCTTACAGGCCTGGGCTAACCAATGCTCTTACAGGCCTGGGCTAACCAATGCTCTTACTAGGCCTGGGCTAACCAATGTTCTTACAGGCCTGGGCTAACCAATGTTCATACAGGCCTGGGCTAACCAATGTTCTTACAGGCCTGGGCTAACCAATGTTCATACAGGCCTGGGTTAACCAATGTTCTTACAGGCCTGGGCTAACCAATGTTCTTACAGGTCTGGGCTAACCAATGCTCTTACTAGGCCTGGGCTAACCAATGTTCTTACAGGCCTGGGCTAACCAATGTTCTTACAGGCCTGGGCTAACCAATGTTCTTACAGGCCTGGCCTAACCAATGATCTTACTAGGCCTGGGCTAACCAATGTTCTTACAGGCCTGGGCTAACCAATGTTCTTACAGGTCTGGGCTAACCAATGCTCTTACTAGGCCTGGGCTAACCAATGTTCTTACAGGCCTGGGCTAACCAATGTTCTTACAGGCCTGGGCTAACCAATGTTCTTACAGGCCTGGGCTAACCAATGTTCTTACAGGCCTGGGCTAACCAATGTTCTTACAGGCCTGGGCTAAGCAATGTTCTTACAGGCCTGGGCTAACCAATGTTCTTACAGGCCTGGGTTAACCAATGTTCTTACAGGCCTGGGCTAACCAATGTTCTTACAGGCCTGGGCTAACCAATGTCTATACGCCTACGACGGGTTCGAGAAGAGAAAGATCTGCTCCAGGAACTACGTAGTCGGCCAGAACCTTTATTACGACTCCGGAGCTGATGTCAAGCTGGTAAGTGTGACCATACTAGCACATCTCAGGTACCATTTTACCAGCACATCTCAATGCCACCATACCAGCACATCTCGGGTACCACCATACCAGCACATCTCAGGTACCATTATACCAGCACATCTCAGTGCCACCATACCAGCACATCTCAGGTACCATTTTACCAGCACATCTCAGTGCCACCATACCAGCACATCTCAGGTACCATTATACCAGCACATATCAGTACCACAATACCAGCACATCTCAGGTACCACAATACTAGCACATCTCAGGTACCATTATACCAGCACATCTCAGGTACCATTATACCAGCACATCTCAGGTACCATTATACCAGCACATCTCAGGTACCATTATACCAGCACATCTCAGTGCCACCATACCAGCACATCTCAGGTACCACAATACCAGCACATCTCAGGTACCACAATACCAGCACATCTCAGGTACCACAATACCAGCACATCTCAGGTACCACAATACCAGCACATCTCAGTACCACAATACCAGCACATCTCAGGTACCACCATACCAGCACATCTCAGTACCACAATACCAGCACATCTCAGGTACCACCATACCAGCACATCTCAGTACCACAATACCAGCACATCTCAGGTACCAAAATACCAGCACATCTCAGTGCCACCATACCAGCACATCTCAGTACCACAATACCAGCACATCTCAGTACCACAATACCAGCACATCTCAGTACCACAATACCAGCACATCTCAGGTACCATTATACCAGCACATCTCAGTACCACAAGACCAGCACATCTCAGTACCATTATACCAGCACATCTCAGTACCACAAGACCAGCACATCTCAGGTACCATTATACCAGCACATCTCAGTGCCACCATACCAGCACATCTCAGGTACCATTATACCAGCACATCTCAGTGCCACCATACCAGCACATCTCAGGTACCATTATACCAGCACATCTCAGTGCCACCATACCAGCACATCTCAGTACCACAAGACCAGCACATCTCAGGTACCATTATACCAGCACATCTCAGGTACCATTATACCAGCACATCTCAGTACCATTATACCAGCACATCTCAGTACCATTATACCAGCACATCTCAGTACCACAATACCAGCACATCTCAGTACCACAATACCAGCACATCTCAGTACCATTATACCAGCACATCTCAGTACCACAAGACCAGCACATCTCAGGTACCATTATACCAGCACATCTCAGTGCCACCATACCAGCACATCTCAGGTACCATTATACCAGCACATCTCAGTGCCACCATACCAGCACATCTCAGGTACCATTATACCAGCACATCTCAGTGCCACCATACCAGCACATCTCAGTACCACAAGACCAGCACATCTCAGGTACCATTATACCAGCACATCTCAGTGCCACCATACCAGCACATCTCAGTACCACAAGACCAGCACATCTCAGGTACCATTATACCAGCACATCTCAGTGCCACCATACCAGCACATCTCAGTACCACAAGACCACCACATCTCAGGTACCATTATACCAGCACATCTCAGTGCCACCATACCAGCACATCTCAGTGCCACCATACCAGCACATCTCAGGTACCACAATACCAACACATCTCAGTACCACAATACCAACACATCTCAGTACCACAATACCAGCACATCTCAGGTACCATTATACCAGCACATCTCAGGTACCACAATACTAGCACATCTCAGGTACCATTATACCAGCACATCTCAGTGCCAACATACCAGCACATCTCAGGTACCACAATACCAACACATCTCAGTACCACAATACCAACACATCTCAGTACCACAATACCAGCACATCTCAGGTACCATTATACCAGCACATCTCAGGTACCACAATACTAGCACATCTCAGGTACCATTATACCAGCACATCTCAGTGCCAACATACCAGCACATCTCAGGTACCACAATACCAACACATCTCAGTACCACAATACCAACACATCTCAGTACCACAATACCAGCACATCTCAGGTACCACAGTACCAACACATCTCAGTACCACAATACCAACACATCTCAGTACCACAATACCAGCACATCTCAGGTACCACAGTACCAGCACATCTCAGGTACCACAATACCAACACATCTCAGTACCACAATACCAGCACATCTCAGTACCACAATACCAGCACATCTCAGGTACCACAATACCAGCACATCTCAGGTGCCATTATACCAGCACATCTCAGGTACCACAGTACCAACACATTTGACTACACACATAATCGTTATTACAATACCAAACTCTAATATTTGTTAGTTTCTTAATCTTGCCTTAATCTTTAGTTTTCCAAACTTGACAATGCTTATTCTTGGCATTTCAAACTTCCTATAATCTTTGTGCTCCAAACTTTGCCATTATCTTTGTGCTCCAAACTTTGCCATTATCTTTGTGTTACAAACTTATCATAACCTCTATATACCTTTAATTAACTTGACAAACTCTCGTATTCCAAAATTTCTATAATCTTTGTTTTGCAAACTTGACATAATCTTTTGTGTTCCAAATTTGCCATAATCTTTATCTTCAATATATGTCATGGTCTTTTATGATCCAAACCTTGCCATAATTTTTTTTAATTAAAAATATTACCATAATTTTAATGTTCTAAATATTGCCATAATCTTTATTGTTAAAAATATTGTTATAATCCTTAGTGCTCCAAACCTTGCCATCATTTTTAATGTTCTAAATATTGCCATATTTTGGGTGTTTTAATTATTACCATATTTTAAGTGTTCCAAATAATACGATATTTTGAATGTTCCAAATATTATGTATTTTATGCCAAAGTTTGAATACGCCAAGAGAAAATGTGTATGGCGTTCACTTCGAGCAGTCACGTATATATGTGGTGGATGGCGTTCATTTAGAGCACTCACGTATATATGTGGTGGATGGCGTTCATTTAGAGCACCCGCGTATATATGTGGTGGATGGCGTTCATTTAGAGCACCCGCGTATATGTGGTGGATGGCGTTCACTTAGAGCACCCGCGTATATGTGGTGGATGGCGTTCACTTAGAGCACCCGCGTATATGTGGTGGATGGCGTTCACTTAGAGCACCCGCGTATATGTGGTGGATGGCGTTCACTTAGAGCAGTCACGTATATGTGTGGTGGATGGCGTTCACTTAGAGCAGTCACGTATATGTGGTGGATGGCGTTCACTTAGAGCAGTCACGTATATGTGGTGCATGACGTTCACTTAGAGCACCCGCGTATATGTTGTGGATGGCGTTCACTTAGAGCACCCGCGTATATGTGGTGGATGGCGTTCACTTAGAGCAGTCACGTATATGTGGTGGACGGCGTTCACTTAGAGCACCCGCGTATATGTGGTGGATGGCGTTCACTTAGAGCACCCGCGTATATGTGGTGGATGGCGTTCACTTAGAGCACCCGCGTATATGTGGTGGATGGCGTTCACTTAGAGCACCCGCGTATATGTGGTGGATGGCGTTCACTTAGAGCAGTCACGTGTATATGGTGGACGGCGTTCACTTCGAGCAGTCACGTATATGTGGTGGATGGCGTTCACTTAGAGCACCCGCGTATATGTGGTGGATGGCGTTCACTTAGAGCAGTCACGTATATGTGTGGTGGATGGCGTTCACTTAGAGCAGTCACGTATATGTGGGGCATGACGTTCACTTAGAGCACCCGCGTATATGTTGTGGATGGCGTTCACTTAGAGCACCCGCGTATATGTGGTGGATGGCGTTCACTTAGAGCAGTCACGTATATGTGGTGCATGACGTTCACTTAGAGCACCCGCGTATATGTTGTGGATGGCGTTCATTTAGAGCACTCGCGTATATGTGGTGGATGGCGTTCATTTAGAGCAGTCACGTATGTGTGGTGCATGACGTTCACTTAGAGCACCCGCGTATATGTTGTGGATGGCGTTCATTTAGAGCACTCGCGTATATGTGGTGGATGGCGTTCATTTAGAGCACTCACGTTTATGTGATCGATGGCGTTCATTTAGAGCACTCACGTTTATGTGGTGGATGTCTTTCATTTAGAGCACTCAATCATATGTGTGGTGGATGGGGGTTCATTTAGAACACTCACTTTTATGTGATTGATCATGTTTACTTAAACACTTATGTGGTGGATGGCGTACCTTTCAAACACACACTTCCATGTGGTGGATAGTGTTCATTTAAAACACTCACATATATATGTGGTGGATCGTTTTATCTTAGAATATTTTCGTATGTGTGCGCCGGATGGTGTCCATTTAGAACACATGTGTGGTGGATGGTGTCCATTTTGAACACATATGTGTGGCTGATGGCGTTTATTTAGAACACACATGTGGTTAATGGTGTTCATTTGGAACAAACATGTGGTCTTTTACTGCTTCGACTCTCTTCGGTGTTTAACTGCTTCGACTTTCATCTATCAGCTAACTCAGCATACAAAAATAAATTCGCGGATTGAGCAAACTTGACCTCTCTTCCCTGCAACTCATTCCATATACTTGTCTCAATCTTATGCTGTAAAATATTGCTGCTGAAAAATTGTAAGAATCTTCGTGTTGTTCCACCACGTCCATCGTCACTGGTTCCTCCTCATTGTTCTTAGACAAACACTCATGTCCAACTTTTGCAGTAGTACGAGACGAATTTGTATTTTTTTCCCCCATTGCAAGAACTGGAGCCGCGCGGTGCATGGTTGGTACGACGAGGTGGTCCGGGTGCCAAGAGGCTTCGTCGACAGCCTCCAGGTGGATAACTCTGGCAGGAGGATTACCCACTACACTCAGGTGAGTCTTGGGTGTAGGTGTACAGCTGTACATGATGTCCATTACTCAGGAAAGTCATGGGTGTAGGTGTAACGTTGTATCTATCTATCTATCTATCTATCTATCTATCTATCTATCCATCTATCTATCTATCTATCTATTGTGACGGTAAAGCGTTGGTGTTCGGCTGTTTCAAAAGCTGGAGGCAGGGCCTCGTCACATAGCCAAAAAAAAAAAAGAAGTTTGTCCTTTCGTCTGTGGTAAGGTAATGGGAAGACACACAAAACACAAAGTATATAAACAATGAAATTTTAATTACTCTAGAAAACAAGACATGAATAAAGACAATCTCATAAAATTCAGAACAGGTCAACAAACAAAACAACATGAATAATTACTGGTAATGAAAAGTTACTCTAAGACAAGAATGCAAGTTAAAATAAATCAAATAAGTGAGGTGCTGGAATACTGGCTTCAAGCTGCCACCTCCCTTAGTACACGACAGCCAAGGCTTAGTCTACTAGCGAGAGATGTCAACTCCAAGGAGCACAGAGATATTCTGAGGAGTACGGCATGCTGCTGCCCAGACGTCGACTCTTGGTGGTGGCGTGAGTGCAGGTGCGGCGAGACACCAGCCAATCAGCAACAGGCAGGCGGAGGATGAGCAGTTTGCTGGTTACGGCGGGCTGTAGCCGGTGTGTCGGGGTGTGCATGGTACGATTTGCTTCCTGGGCAAAACGTTTAGCGATACTGGTGGACGTATCTTCAATATAATATCTTGTACTTGAACGACGTAATTGTGTAGGGAAGAGCAGGCTCAATCTCTCTTGAAAGAGATTATCGTCACACTTAGCCCATGAAGTCTGACCTCCTGTTTTAGACAGACAGACAAACTATTTTATGGAAATTTTTGATTCTCTTATGAGTGAATGATAAAGCATGTAATTACTCTCAAGTTTTACGAGTGAATGATTTGACCTGTATTTACTATCATGTCTCTGCGAATGAATTATATGACCTGTAGTTACTATCCTGTCTCCTAGTGGTGAATTATATGACCTGTAGTTACTATCCTATCTCCTAGTGGTGAATTATATGACCTGTAGTTACTACCATGTCTCCTAGTGGTGAATTATATGACCTGTAGTTACTATCCTGTCTCCTAGTGGTGAATTATATGACCTGTAGTTACTATCCTGTCTCCTAGTGGTCAATTATATGACCTGTAGTTACTATCATGTCTCCTAATGGTGAATTATATGATCTGTAGTTACTATCCTGTCTCCTAATGGTGAATTATAAAACCTGTAGTTACTATCGTGTCTCCTAAATGTGAATTAAATGACATGTAGTTTTCTATCGTGTCTGCTAATGGCGAATTATATGACCTGTAGTTACTATCGTTACTATGTAGTTACTCCTAATCGTTAATTATATGTCCTGTAGTAAATATTGAAATTGAAATTGAAATTGAAATAAGTTTATTGAGGTAAAATACACACAAAGGGATGAGGTAGCTCAAGCTATTCTCATCCCGATCAGTACAACGTGTTCGTACATATATAGACACACATCACAAACAATAAACATATTACCAAACATTCTAAGAGATAAACATATACATTTCTTCCATTACTCAAGTACTATGGTATCAGACGTACACACAAATACTTTTATGACTAGGTATATAGACAATTTGCCAGAGACATTCAGACAATTCCATAAAAGGTTACAATCTTGGTGCAAAATTCTTATATCTCTCCAGAATATCATCAACCTTTCCATTGTGACCCAACCAGGGTATTTGTTCAGGAACAGTCCTTATCCCAGTGTTTCTATATACATTAAAGAACACAAGTGTCAACTGAAATCATGTCTATGACTCTAAGCTATCACAATAGCATATAATAAAGTATTTTAATATTTAGTTTTATGCCCAAAAAATATTTCACACAAAAAAATACAAAAAAATTTTGAATTTGTTTCTCATATTTTTTTATCAGCCGATTTGCATGAAACTTATACACCTTACAGAACGTAAGCCTATCTGTAAGGGTGTAAATTTTGGAGGAAATTGGGTGAAGTCAACTTCAACCACAGGTGGCAGAATGTTTGATCTTATATATTGTCAAGTAACATAAAATTAATTCTCCTCTTTAATTTTTTTTCAATTTACATGAAATTTACACCTTATATTTAGAGTTAACGTCTCTACAACATTTTAAATGCACATTATTCCTAATTTCATTTATCGATTGTATAAATATTTGCAAACATGAAATATTGGCATATATTTTTTGTGGAACTTTGACTACTTGTATTAGTAAAACTAAACACATTTTGGATAATCTTTTTTATAAAAATCCTTTATTATATGCTAATGATAGATGAGTGTCATAGAAATTATTTCATTTGAAAGTTGTGGTTGTAGAGTATTATTGAAAATGTGTAAAATTCATTAAAAAAAAAACAAAAAAATACTCCTTTTCTATTTAGGGTGCCATACTGAAACGTAAAACAGTTGCAGCCCTTCTTATATACAACTAGTAAAAAAAGTTTGGTTGATATTAAACAACATTTCAGAATAGCGTAATACGCCCCCTTAATGTCATTATCATGAACACCTATCCCATATTCCCAGTAATACTTGTACCCAAGCCTGAACCGCATGTGCACAGAGACACTCCAAGCATTTCTCCTTTTACCATAAGTGACATGGGTGTTTTGACTCACACATATGTAGTGTTGCAAGGTTTGGCTTCCCTCATACATTATACCTCTCCTCTCCACTTCTGCCTGTGCCTGAATATTTCTGATTTTGATCTTATTTTTACCCATTAGTTTTAAGCTTTAGTCATTAGTGTTTTTTCCTGCCCGAAACGCTTTGCGTAATAGTGGCTTTAGGCATTGTATGTACTAGCTCTATCTATAAAGCCAACAAACTTTGTAAAATCTCTTTATGTATGTACCTTTACCTAAATAAAAATTATTATTATTATTATTATTATTATTATTATTATTATTATTATTATTATTATTATTATTATTTGTCTCATTGTGAAAACACATGCAATGTCAACATGTGGTTTTGATGTGGCGCGTTTGGCCAAGTCATCCGCCACCTCGTTGAGCACAATTCCAACATGAGGTGGAATCCACTTGAATTTTACTTTGAGACCTTTCAGCTGTATTTCATTTGTCCTGTTCTTACAATCAGTTAATATTGTGTCTCCTAATGGTAAACTATTTGACCTGTAGTTACCATTGTATCTTCTAATGGTGAAATGTATGACCTGTAATTACTATCCTGACTTCTAATGATGAATTATATGACCTTTAGTTACTATCCTTTCTCCTAATGGTAAATTATATGACCTGTAGTTATTATCGTGTCTCCTAATTCTGAATTATATGACCTGTAGTTACTATCTTATCTCCTAATGGTGAATTATATGACCTGTAGTTAATATCGTGTCTTCTAATGGTGAATTATATGACCTGTAGTTACTGCCTTGTCTCCTAATGGTGAATTATATGACCTGTAATTAGTGTCTTGTATCCTAATGGATAATTATCTGACCAGTAGGTACTATCCTGTCTCCTAATGGTGAATTATATGACCTGTAGTTACTATCCTGTCTCCTAATGGTGAATTATATGACCTGTAATTAATATCATGTCTCCTAATGGTGAATTATATGACCTGTAGTTACTATCCCGTCTCCTAATTGTGAATTATATGAAATGTATTTATTATCGTGTCTCTTAATGGTGATTATATGACATGTAGTTAATATACTGTCTCCTAATTGTGAATTATATATCTTGTAGTTATTATTGTGTCTATTAATCATGAATTATTTGATCTGTATTTAGTATTCTATCTTTTAATGGTGAATTATATGACCTGTAGTTACTATCCTGTCTTTAAGTGGTGAATTATGTGACCTGTAGTTACGATCATGTCTCAAATAATGAATTATATGACTTGTAGTTACTATCCTTTTTTTCTAAGGATGAATTATATGATCTGGTGTCACTATCATGTTTCCTAATGGTGAATTATACGACCTGTATTTATTATCCGGTCTCCTAGTAATTAATTATATGACCTATAATTACTATCGTGTCTCCTATTGGTGAATTATATGACCCCGTAATTACTATCATGTCTTCTAATGGTTAATTATATGACCTGTAGTTACTATCATGTCTCCTAATGGTGAATTATTTCACCTGTATTTACTTTCATGTCACAGGAGTGAATGATGAGACCTGTAGTTACTATCACGACCTTACTAGTGACTAGTGTGACCTGTAGTTACTATCACGACCTTACTAGTGACTAGTGTGACCTGTAGTTACTGACATGACCTTACTAGTGACTAGTGTGACCTGTAGTTACTGTCATGACCTTACTAGTGACTAGTGTGACCTGTAGTTACTGTCACGACCTTACTAGTGACTAGTGTGACCTGTAGTTACTGTCACGACCTTACTAGTGATTAGTGTGACCTGTAGTTACTGTCATGACCTTACTAGTGACTAGTGTGACCTGTAGTTACTGTCACGACCTTACTAGTGATTAGTGTGACCTGTAGTTACTGTCATGACCTTACTAGTGACTAGTGTGACCTGTAGTTACTGTCACGACCTTACTAGTGATTAGTGTGACCTGTAGTTACTGTCACGACCTTACTAGTGATTAGTGTGACCTGTAGTTACTGACATGACCTTACTAGTGACTAGTGTGACCTGTAGTTACTGTCACGACCTCCAAAGGTTTCCCAACGTCAAGCAACAGTCGTACTAAAGGGACCTTATCCTAACCAACTAGAGGACCCAAAACAGAAAATGGGACAGCATGTCACTTTCGTGAGCAGCTTCCATTTTCTAGTACCAAGATTTTTGGCCTTAGGTAGAGTATACGTCAAAAATGCGACGTTCTGTTATAGGAGGACGAGTTGAGTTGTCTCTGACTAGTGTTAGACATGTAACTATAGACATGTCTCATACGGGAG